GCTGACCGAGACTCGCAAACTGATGTAGAAATAAAGTGAACTGAACTGAACTTTGCAAAGAGTGATCATAGGGAATTATAAGGGAGTTTTCAGAAGCACTATTCTAAGAGAAACAATTTGCAGTTTGGGAACCGTATTTCCCAAGCTCCATAGGAATCCACTCTAGAATTCAGTTCCCATGGAAGAAAACTAACATGTCTGAATTGTCCCTCTTCCGTTCCTATATCACTTTCTTAACCCAAGCAAGCTAAAGGCAAAAGAGGAGTGAACTGCTGGGCAATGAGTCCACACAATTAACTGGTGAAGCAACCCTTGGAAATGGATAGCGCTGGCTTATTAGCAGATGACCCAGAGCCATTTTCCAGCTTAGCTGGAGCCCATGAAGGGCGCCAATTTTTGTTTGATTGTGTTTATTTTAAACATTAAGAGAATCGAATGAAAGCCCAAGCTGAGGAGGACTCAGATGTCCTATGTGCAAATGTCTCAAGGTGCTGCGAAAACAAGCTACAGAAAGTTGGTCTTCTATATCTCACCTTTGTGCACAAGCAGTTTTCTGTGTGTGGATGGATGAAATGTCTGGGAGGGTTTGTATTCTGAGAATCCAAGGTCTTGGCATTCTTTAAATTTTTATTTTATTTCTCCTTAAAACTGAATGACAATTGATCTCAAGGTTTCAACAGGGTTAAAATTTGCACTTTGGTTGCATTGGAAATTGAGGCAGAGCGTTGTAGTGGTTAGAGCAGTGGACTAGGACCAGGGAGTGGGATGATGACCAGAGAGAAACTCAGATTCAAATCCCCTCTCAGCTGTGATGGTGACTGAGTAATCTGGCAAATCCCTCTGAGAGAATGCACTGTAGATCACCAGGTGATGGCAACAGGTCAACTGGGAGCCAGAAACTTCCATCAATCTGTTTAAAATCCCCAGAGAACTACAGCAGATCCCAAATCCACCTTCAGCCCACTCCCTATTCTGGAGCAACCAAAGGAATCAAAACAATTTCATGAATATATTAAGGAATATATAGAAATCACTGTGGGTATTGTTGGGACAACCTTGCCTGCCTCTCAACTATTTAACAACAGCAACACCACCATTTTAATTTAATTTGGGCTTCTGAAATGAAAACTTGCTGGGAATAGCCTTTGGTGTGAAATGACTTTGAACTCAGTTCTGATGAGATGGCCATGTGTCCTGCTTTCTAAAGAGCAAACATCCTTTTAAAGCAGTGGTGGCCAAACTTGGCCATCTAGCTGTTTCGGGACTACAATTCCCACCATCTCTGGCCACTGGTCCTGTTAGCTAGGGATGATGGGAGTTGTAGTTCAAAAACAGCTGGAGGGCCAAGCTTGGTCACCATTGTTTTAAAGGGTCATTGAAGAATACCCCTATTTAAATGTGTCCTCTGTTTGAAGGCATCCAAGTGCTTTTTAGAGATAAAGAAGAACTATAAGAATGGAGAACAAGGGGGATTGCCAAGGTGCCCATCAACAGTTAGCAAATTGGCAGCAGACTAAGCAGGGAGATGCAGAAATCACCCAATCGTTCTTTCTGTCTATGGTGAGATGTATTATATTTCTGCTTAAATGACAACAAGAATTTTGAAATGTGCGTATAAGCACATACACATATAAAAGTCAGACAATCCTCTAATTAAGGAACAGCTTCTCTGCGATGGACCACACCTAAGGAGGCCGAATTTCAGCAGTGGATTTGTATAATTTGTAAAACATTTGACACATGGAGACGATGGCAATATAAAATATTATGCTAAAACCCTTAAGCCTCACAGCTATTGCACGAATGTTGCCAGGTGGTAGTGGGAAATAGAAGCCCTTCAAAGTTATGTTTGCTTTGAAAGGATCAAGGCCACTTAAGTAATAAGGGGATGGGGCAACCCAGGAGGAATTGGATTCTCATCTCAGTTTCATGTGCAGTAGGAAATCTCTAGGGGATTGGAGTGGTGGTGTAGGCTTTTTCTGCAAGGCAAAAAGATCCAAGGAGAGATGTAAAGCAGAACCAGTTAGGGGTGGAGCCTGGGGAGAGGGGTCAGGGGTCGGGCAGGGACAGACCTGAGGGCCAGGATGAGAGGCTTGGAGGACTACATTTGGCCCACAGGCCTCAGTTTCTACCCTTGTTCATGGACTGGAGTTGACGTCAATATCAGCGCTGGCCCCAGTTTTTTGTGTGGGAGAGAAGTGGGCAATATTCTCTCAGTGGTCCCTCCGTAAGTTGCTCCCTTCTCTCTGCTGCCCATCTGCCTGTCCTCTCCCCCTTGGACCCCGTCTCCAGGACAGAGGAGGGCACCAGGCAAATGTCCTCCATCGTCAGTCTTGCCACTGCTTCATATTCCAAAAGGGCAAGAGAGCAGGCAGAAGCATCCACGAGGCAGAGATGGCACAGAGGAGCTCACTCCTCCTGGCCGAAGACTCCTTCTATCTTGGCTGGGGGAAGGAAGAGGTTCCCCTCCCTCCCTCCCTCCCTTGCTTGCCTTAGCTTCATGTCCAGGTATTAAAGGTTCAAGATCCTTCTCTGATGTTGCCATTGGTTACCTGCTCCAAACACACCTTTCCCCACCTCCACTCCAGGTTTCCCCTGAACACAAAAGCTGGATTGTGTCCTTTGCACGTCACAGTTCTTTCTTGCATTCCTGTACTTTTTGTTGCTTGTCTTCCTAGTTTGTGCTAATGGTGTATACACACACACACACACACACACCCACACACACACACCATATTTTTCACTCTATAAGACTCACCAGACCATAAGACACACCTAGTTGTTGGAGGAGGAAAACAAGAAAAAAAAATTTCTGAATCCCAGAAGCCAGAACAGCAAGATCGAAAGCAGCGATCCCTCTTGCTGTTCTGGCTTCTGGGATAGCTGCGCTGCCTGCATTCGCTCCATAAGATGCACACACATTTCCCCTTACTTTTTAGGAGGGAAAAAGTGAGTCTTATAGTGCAAAAAATACAGTGTGTGTATGTGTGTGTGTGTGTGTGTGTGTGTGTGTGTGTGTGTATATATATATATATATGCAATATTTGTGTGTGTGGGCATTTTCATTTGCTTAGAAAGTGGTATAGAAATGGTCTTACATAGGTTTAATTAGAGGAGGAGGAGGAGGAGGAGGAGCAGCAGCAGCAGCAGCAGCAGCAGGCTTTGGGGAGTCAGCAATTGGCCCCTTGCCTCTGTGTAGCCTTGGTTGGGGGGCCTTTGATGCTGACCCCCAATCCTGACTCCGGTTGACAGCTCTGGACTCAGTGGTGGTGAAGAAGAAGAAGAAGAGTTTGGATTTGATATCCCGCTTTATCACTATCCTAAGGAGTCGCAAAGCGGCTAACATTCTCCTTTCCCTTCCTTCCCCACAACAAACACTCTGTGAGGTGAGTGGGGCTGAGAGACTTCAGAGAAGTGTGACTAGCCCAAGGTCACCCAGCAGCTGCATGTGGAGGAGCGGAGACACGAACCCGGTTCACCATATTAGGAGTCCACCGCTCTTAACCACTACACCACACTGGCTCTCACTGGTGAACCTTGTGGTTAGAGTTGGATGGCCCTGGCGAATTGAGGAGGGCTAATTCAGGACCAGCCCAACAGAACCACTTTGCCGATGAATGAATGGGAATGTTTGCACAGTGTAGTGTGTGTTGCCAAAATAACAATATCCCTCTTCTTCTGCATACATTGTAGACGTGATTCCATTTGGAAAGCCCATCTCTTTCCCTCGAATTGTTTATCAAGAATTGGATACCATCTCGCCTTGCATGAGGAAAATAATATTTCTGAGCTCTCCTCGTGATTGAACCTGACACTCAGCAAACTCCCAGGCTGCATGCATATGAAAATTCCCTAGATCACTGGCAGGTCAAGGCAAGCCTCACAAAGAGTGTTCAGTGTAAAAGTTCCATTTCAGACGGTTCACCTAGAATTCAATCCTCCAAACTGGAGGAGATGGTAATCTTTGTTTTCGTTTGGAATCACCACAAAGAATCCATTGCCTTAAAAAAAAAAAATGTTAACCCTCCCAGCTGAGGCCTACAGAAGCACCATATTTCCACGGAGGAAATATGGTAAGGCCTGAACAACTTGTGAGTCTTGATCCAGCAGGCTGCAAGCAGCCCACCACCTAACCAGAAGTGGTGGCCTGCAAACTTATCCTGCCAGGGCGCTTAGGTCCTGGCAACTGCCCGGGTAAGGCTTGTGAGAGTGCTAAGCCAGGCAGCCTGCTGTTTCACATATTGCAGCCATTGAAGTCAATGTGAAATTTTGGGCAATGTATTGAATAATGAATATACAGTCGTACCTCGGTTCTCGAATGCTCCGGAACTCGTATGTTTCAGCCCCCCAATGATCGAAAACCAGAAGTGAGCTTCCTGCAGCCAATCAGAAGCTGCACTTTGGAAGTAAAAAGTTTTGGAAGTTGAACGGATTTCCGGAATGGATTCCGTTCGACTTCTGAGGTACAAGGCCAAATGTATATGAAGAGGCCAAATGTGGACAGGTAGCCTACCACCTGTGGAATACTTTCTGCAAAAAAGCTCACCTAGCATCCATTTTACAATTGTTATAGGAGGAAGGTGTTGCTTTGAATGACGCCCATGGGTTCCAATCAAGCCTGTGATTTTGTAACTGCAAGACTATAGTTTGAAGCAGAAAGTACTGTTGACCTAGGACTCAGCTACATTTGTAAAGATAAAGCACTTTATATGTCATGACACCAGATGGCGCTGTGGAGTCCCGTCTTTCGCCAACGGGATTTCCCTGTATGAAGTTTACAATGCGTTTAACTGATGTGTCTAGGCCACAGGACAGATGCAGGGGGAGAGCTGTGCACAGTTCTAGTTTATATAGGATATTTTAAAGTATTTAATGTAAGTTCCCTCAAGGCTTCAGCATAGGGGATGATGCTGGGCTATGGAGATCCTTCAGCAATGTGTCCTGATGGAAGGCGGGTTGGATGTGGCAGTGATCCATGTTTAGAAAACCAAACGGTTGGGGTGGTATCCGTTGAGGAAAGGAGAGGAGCTTATGCGATGCAGGTGAACCAGGGAGCAACATTACTCGCTCTGGCGCTGTGTGCAGTCTTCTCACTAGTGCTGGGCATGGAAAGCAAACGGAAGCTCCAGATTGGGGTCAAGAAGCGGGTGGACAACTGCCCCATCAAGTCCCGCAAGGTCTGCCAAAAAAGCTGAAAAACATCTTCATGTATGCGACAACGGCCGCGAGAGTTTTAGTAGCACAAGGATGGAAGACAGAAGAAACCCCAACTAAAGAATTATGGCAAGAAAAATTGATGGACTATGCAGAACTGGCAAAACTGACATACAAGCTACGGGACAAGGATAACTGTGACTTTAAAGATGAATGGGAACCCTTTACAAAATATTTGAAGACGCAACAAAGCAAACTGGACTCCTTGGCTGGTTTTGAATAACCATTCACAAACTTTTTATTGATAATTATTACTTAAATAGTTTGAGGATCTATACAACTGTGTAACATGCAGAAAACAGCATTTTTAGAGAAATCAAAGACTGGAACTGAGGGAAGTCGGGGGGTGGGTGGGTTCTGTGGGGGGAGGAAAAAAAGGGGGGGAAATAAGGATGATATGTTTCTAGATAATATGTTTTGTCTTAATTTTGAATAAAAAAGTAATTAAAAAAAAAAGTCCCGCAAGGGTGATGTGCTCCACATGCATTATACGGGCAAGTTGGAGGATGGGACAGAGTTTGACAGCAGCCTGACTTGTCATCAGCCGTTTATCTTCTCCTTGCGGACTGGACAAGTCATTAAAGGCTGGGATCAGGGCCTGCTTGGGATGTGCAAGGGTGAGAAGAGAAAGCTGGTCATCCCCTCTGAGCTGGGTTATGGGGACTGCAGAGCACCACCCAAAATCCCAGGTGGTGCAACCTTAATCTTTGAAGTTGAGCTGCCGAAGATTGAGCGAAGGCAGGAACTGTAGCGACATCTCTTCGGGGGAGGGGGCATGTGGGGAGGGGAGACGCGACTCAGGATTTGTAGATACTGATGGGCCAAATAAAAGCACAGACCAGAAAAAAACCCCCAAACGGTTTTCTGCTTTTCTTAATTTTTGGGATGTCGTAGAGTTTAGACATGGGGCGCTCTGACTCTATGGGCCTGCTTTTACCCGAACAGAAGAAAAACTTCCCACCCAAAAGAAAAGAGGGGCGCATTTTTTATTTTGCTGGTGGGAACCCTGCCGTGTCTTCACTGCCACCCTTTGCCTGAAGAAATGTGCCAGACATGATGCTCTCCTCCCTCCCTGCTGTCTCAGAAATGGACTTGGCCTACAGACGGGGGCTGATCCGTCTGGGCAGGAGGGAGGGCGAAGCGGACCTGATAACAGGGCCGGAAACCCATCAGAGACACCCGGCGGCTCTCGCCCTCTGCGCCTCGTCAAAATTACCTGCCAGAGGAGCCTCCGCTCCAGGCCTGCACCTTGTCAGCCCTTCTGGGGAACAGGAAACAGCTGCTGGGTGGGGAGGGGGGGGAGTCTGGAAACATCAGTGGAAAGCAGGGTGGTGGTGCTGAGGGAAGAAAGCCATTCATAACTTTTCCTCATTACCCAGCGTGTTCGGGAGAGGATGGGGCATTTTGAAGGGACAGCGGTTGTTGAAAAATCCTCTGGCACCGAGGAGAGAAGCCGTATCTGGTTGCTATTAGCTCGGCCAGGGATTTTCTTTCTGTGTGTTAATTGGGCAATTCGTTTTTGCTTTTATTTTAAAAATGTGCCCTTTATGTGGATAACTCAGTGATAGCTGGTTCCCCTTGTCTGACAGGTAACCAATCTTTTGGCACCTCAGGCTCTGCTGCTGGCCAGGGCCACAATCGTAAGGCAACGGGAGTGGCAAGAAAAACAGAGAGAGACAGACAGACAGACAGACAGAGAGATTGGGCAGACCACAGAATTGGAGAGTTGGAAGGGACCACTAGTCTAACCCTTCAATGCACGAACCTTTTGGCCAAAATGGGGCTCGAACCAATGACCCCGTGATTAAGAGTCTCATGCTCTACCAGCTGAGCTATCTATTCAGCACTTGAGTTGTTTTTTTGAGCTAGATTTTTGCTGCCCCTAAGCATCATGGGCTCCACAATCACTGCAGATGGTGAGAGCAGCCACGAAATTAAAAAACGCCAGCTTCTTGGGAGAAAAGCAATGACAAAACTAGACAGCATCTTAAAAAGTAGAGACATCACCTTGCTAACAAAGGTCTGTATAGTAAAAGCTATTGTTTTCCCAGTAGTGATGTATGGAAATGAGAGCTGGACCATAAAGAAGGCTGATCGCCGAAGAATTGATGCTTTTGAATTATGGTGCTGGAGGAGACTCTTGAGAGTCCCATGGACTGCAAGAAGATCAAACCTCTCCATTCTTAAGGAAATCAGCCCTGAGTGCTCACTGGAAGGACAGATCCTGAAGCTGAGGCTCCAGTACTTTGGCCACCTCATGAGAAGAGAAGACTCCCTGGAAAAGACCCTGATGTTGGGAAAGATGGAGGGCACAAGGAGAAGGGGACGACAGAGGACGAGATGGTTGGATAGTGTCTTCGAAGCTACCAGCATGAGTCTGACCAAACTGCGGGAGGCAGTGGAAGACAGGAGTGCCTGGCGTGCTCTGGTTCATGGGGTCACAAAGAGTCGGACACGACTAAATGACTAAACAACAACAAGGCATCATGGCCAATGTTCACGAAAGACGGGAGATGTAGTCCATAGAACATCCAGAGGACACCAGTTGAAAGAAATAATAGCCAGCTTTTGCAAGGTTTTCTTTTGTTTAAGCAAATAAAAATCTCCTCTAGAAGCTTTTGTTTAACCGAAACAACAGATGGCCATGGTGGGTTTTTTTGGGCAAGCGTGGCATAAAGTGGGGTGAATTCAGATCCGAGGTTCAAATGTGGCACTCCAGCTCTCTCTACTTGCCTTGGGAACTTCTGTGGGACAGTTCTGTTCTTGGGAACACACTGTGGGCCCATAAAAACATGGAGCCCTCCCTGACGAAGGTGGAGATGCTGTAATTCCTTTTCCCACAATGCTCATGTTTCCAGGTTTTCACTGTGAATCACATAGAGGAGGGAGAAAGCTTGTTTTCTGCTGCTCCAGAGAAGCGGACACGGAGCAATGGATCCAAACTACAAGAAAGAAGATTCCACCTAAACATTAGGAAGAACTTCCTGACAGTAAGAGCTGTTCGACAGTGGAATTTGCTGCCAAGGAGTGTGGTGGAGTCTCCTTCTTTGGAGGTCTTTAAGCAGAGGCTTGACAACCATATGTCAGGAGTGCTCTGATGGTGTTTCCTGCTTGGCAGGGGGTTGGACTCGATGGCCCTTGTGGTCTTTTCCAACTCTATGATTCTATGATTCTATGAATCCTTCCAAAGAAAGAGAGGGAGACAGAGAGAGATGTTCCTCACATCCTCTCTTGAGCACAGCGCTGCTCTGATTTCACAGCCTTCCTCTGGCCAAATTCTAAATACATCTTGAATGTTTTAGACAAGATACTTTTACGAAAAACTGGTTCCAGATTTTAAATCCCTGTATGTAGCTCAAGTCCAAGGTCCTTCTGTGCCACTAAGGACCAGTTCTCCAAATCTCAGTATTATCCTCTTTTGAGGAGGATTTATAGCTCAGTGCCAGACAGAGAATGACCCCGGATGCCGCTTGGCTTCCATTCCATCAGTTACGCAGTTTGTCAGTGTGGGTGATGCTGCCTTGTCCAATTCTTTCTCTCCTGATTTTAATTACACAGTGTGGGCAGTTCTAGGAAACAGTCGCTGTGAACTGCTTGCCTCACGGTCCGTTTTAAACTCCTTTTCTGTTATGGTAGAGGCGGTTTGCACTTGTGAAATCCACATTGCAACCAGCCACTGTACCAACATTGCAGAGTAGGGAACCATTTCCTGTTTGAGGGCCACATTTCTTACTGGGAGATCTTCTGAGGGCCACGTGCCATTGATGGGCAAGGCAAATGCAAGAGTAGGGACTCAGCTAGGCTGGGAATGAAAAAGCGATGTACTGTACGTGCGTTGTAGGTGCGATATAACATTGTGCCACCAGATGGCAATGTGGAGTCCTGTTTTTCCCTATCTGTTTTCCCTGTTTAAATTTACAATGCTTTAAACTGAAACGCTTCTTTGGTGCGTCTAGATCCAGCCTAGGTGTGGAAATGAATGTGCATTTTAGCATTGCCCATTACACACACACAGAATTGTAGGGGAATGTTTAAAGTTTTTTTAGAAACAGTCACAGATGTTCTATGTGCGTACTCTTTGTCACATGACACACATTGAACCGGTAATCCATTTCTGCCCAAACGCGACTCACCCTACGCATTGATTTTCCTGGGCTTTATTGAATGGCGGTGCAAACACTATCGACTTCTTCCGATACACACGATCATCCAGGACTTCTAAGTCTGCACAAACAGTCCGTAGTTTCAGGTTTTTTATGCCAATTGTAGATACATTTTCTGCTTGGAGGTTTTTTTCCCCAAATTGTGATTGAAAATGCCATTGCACAACAGTTACAGATTCCATTTTGCTCAATTCAAGAACACAAAACACCTTCTCCACAGCAGACACAGCCATTTTGCCTGACTAGTCACGTGACATGCGCGCATCGCCTACGTCACTTCCCTCAGTAGCGGAACACAAACTTTATGAGGACATCTACCTCGCAGTTAACAGTTGTGGTCCATGTCATCTCCTGTTACTGTCTTATAGCATCTGGAAACTGTATGAATTATGAACCACCCTGTATATTTAAAGCACCATAATACCACTTTAAACAGTCATGACTCAGACCTTCCAAGTGTCCCTTGTTGCAAAAGCTGGGTGCCTGTTCCTCTCTCTGCCAAGCTGTGGTGAGAGCCAATGGGGTCCAAGGCACCCACACAGGGTCTGTGTCCCTTTGGAGAATAGAAGACTGCCATGCTTTAAGAAATATGGTTTATTTACCTATTTACACCTTCAGTCTGCATGGAGGAAGTCCAGATCTTATAGCAGTGCAGGGAACCTTTTGTCTCCCTCTCCAAGATGGATCTCAGTCCTTCCTCCTCCTCTTCTCTCCCAGAAAACCCCTTGCTTGAAAACTCCCCTTTCCTGTCCCCTCAAACATATACCTTGGTATAACATCTCACCCCCTAGGCTAAAGGATTCCTCTCCTCAATGGTACATCAACACCTTGTGTCATGTTAGGTTTTGCTCTTCACTAAACCAGCCTAGGTTTGCATAAGCCAGCCTTGGAATTTCTTTGCTGCTTGAATTCTCCATTCATATCACAAATGAGCCAAACCCTAAAGGTAAAGGTAAAGGGACCCCTGACCATTAGGTCCAGTCGTGGCCGACTCGGGGGTTACGGCGCTCATCTCGCTTTATTGGCCGAGGGAGCCGGCGTACAGCTTCCAGGTCATGTGGCCAGCATGACTAAGCCGCTTCTGGCGAACCAGAGCAGCGCACGGAAACACCGTTTACCTTCCCGCCGGAGCGGTACCCATTTAGCCCAATCAGATTAAGAGGCTAATCGCAAGCCAACTAGCTAATAAAGCTCCAGGAGAAGACATGATCCCAATGGAGATCTATAAGATAAGACCTGATTTCTGGTCACCCATTTTTGCAAAATTGTTTTCATACATTAACAGCTCAGGTCGCATACCTGAAGGGTGGAAGTTGAGTATAATTGCCCCAATATATAAAAAGGGTGATAAGAAAACCCCTGCCCATTATAGACCCATTAGTTTGTTAGATGTAGCCTCCAAACTATATGCCAGGCTCCTTCTTGGGAGACTAGAAGAATGGACAGATACAAATAAGGTGATATCTGAAGTCCAGGCAGGTTTCCAAAGAGGGAAATCCACATTGGACCAGTGCTTCATGCTGAACTTTCTGCTATGTAAATACATCCATAATTTGAAGCAAAAATTATATGTTGCTTTTATCGATCTAAAGTCAGCTTTTGATATGGCCCCAAGACATGCATTGTGGCAAAAATTGGAAAAGACAAATATAGACCTCCGTCTATTATTTCTCATCAAAACATTATATACTGACACATCAATACAAGTAAAGGTGGATCTGGCTGGCCATCTCACCACTAGAATTAAGACCATTACTGGAGTCAAACAGGGATGCATTTTGGCACCTTTCCTGTTCAATTTTTATATTAATAACATGGTTAAAGAACTGGAGGGCCTACAGTTTGCCCCTGTCACAATTCTCGACCAAAAACTCTCAGTTTTAATGTATGCTGATGACCTAGTACTTGTATCTAGAACCCAGGTGGGCCTGAGACGGCTGCTTGCAAAATTAAGTTCATATTGCACGAGGAATGCTTTATCTATAAACTATGATAAGACACAGGTCATTGTATTTGGGAAGCGTTCTAAAAAGCATGTTTGGCACCTGGATGAACACATCATAAACCAAGTAAATATGTTTAAATATCTGGGATTGATTTATTCAGAAACGGCATCTTGGAATACACAGCTATCCAATATTAAATTGTAAGCCTTTAAATCAGCAAAAGCCATTCTGAAATTCGCTGCCTGTAAAGGTGGAAATCTGGTCAACCCAGCTCTATCTGTGTATAAAGCAAAAACAATGGCCCATTTTTTATATGGTGCAGAGGTTTGGGGTACCTCAAAGGTCTCCGGTCTGGAACCCCCACAGAATTATTTTTTAAGAGTTCTTTTAGGTTTACCCAAAGACGTGCAATCTGCCATGGTCAGGTTGGAAACTCGCATGTTGAGCATAGAGAGCCAAATAGATAAAAGAATTCTCTGTTACTGGTTTAGAGTTCAACAGATGGACAACACTAGGCTACCAAAAAATGCCTGATTGAGCTCTCAAATGGATTACCCCTTAAAAACTGGGTACATCATGCTGCCCAACTGATGGGCAAATATGACCTCTCAGTGACTGAGATTAAAGAACTCCCCTTATATTCACAGAAAAATATTTTTAAACAAACCATAAGGGCAGTGGCAACTAAAAACGGTCTAAACTCTATGTGCACATCTACATGCGTCCCATTGTA